CAACAAAGATGTTAAACAGCACGGGAGTCAACTCCAGGTAATCCTTGCAGAAACAGAGAAGCACCTGAAGCTGACACCAAGAGGTAATGCTTTGCAGCAGGATAAGAATAGTTATTCCCAACTCAAACATCTAAAACATCTTCACATAAAACCAATCAAAACCTGAATTGCCATTCACACAGACATTTCTTTTCAGTTAGATCTTAAAGGCAGCTATGGAAAAAATTATATGACCTACCAATGAAAATAATATGACAACAAACAGGAGCATCAGGGAAAAAAAAGGCTGTTCTGCAACCAAGACTTTCAGATATTAAAGCACCTCTTTGCCTACTCCCACCATCCAAGCAAGTAAACAGGAAAGAGTATACTGCTCGGCTGATGTTCATGAATTTTTCCAACAACATCCAAGCATTTCCAGTGCATGTACGTTTCAAATCTTCTACTTAACCTTTTCACTTAGGTCTTTCCACTAGAAACTACTTGCTAGAAGGACTGATGTTGACTACATCACTGAAGACAGCTATTCTACCTTCAATGCTTATCTTCCTAGTGCTGCAAGGCTGGAAGCACCATCCCATACATGGGAGTAAATAGAGAGGAGCAAAGACCTCAAAGTGAGTTTGGAAGAAGCCCAAGAAAAAGGCCTTTACTAAAAAATAATAATGAATTTTAAAAACATCTTCAGTGCCTAGCAGGTAAGCAAGCAATTTTACCTGCTTACAGCAGAAAAATTAAAGGGTGATTACAATTCAACACAACAAAAATTATGCAAAACCTACTCCTTTCATCAAGTTATTCAAATGTACAGTAAGACATAGGCTAAAAGTTATATTCATAGTTGAGCTTTTTGATTGGTTTTTTATTATTCTTGAATTTTACGGAGTACAATTAGTTACAAACATTTAAGACCATGTCATTCTTTACAAAACTTCATTATTTTGGTATAAATGTTAGGACTCTGAGGCTTCAGACATTTATTACCAGACCCTGATATCCAGACTTCTAATGGACATTGGTCCCTAAATATTTATGATGGCTTTGGACTTGCTCAAAAGTGAGAAAAGTTATAGTGGGAGTAGTGACTGAAATGTTAAAAAAAAAAAAAAAAAAAAGAAATTGAAAGCTTCTAAAGGTCATTTAAACTTTGAAAATAATGAATTTCAGAAGTTCGTTCTCATTTAGCTGCAGAGCAGAAAATTAAGTTCCCAACAGAGGTGCAGTAGGTGCAAATGAAGGAGAAGAATAATCAATGGATTAAAAAAAATTATCAAAGTACTATATTCAAAAGAGGAAACTTGGGAGCAGAGGGATACCTGTGGCATACAGGACTACAGAATTCAAAAGCAAAATCTCAGTCATCTTAATAGACATCAAGGCAGCAAGAACAAAAGAAGTGACAGAAGAGCTATTTATAAGCTACTTGAAAGGTATAACACTCTCAGAAAAAAAATGCAGAGATATTTACTGAAAAAGCAGAATGATGTGCTCGTCTGTTATGAGGAAGATGAAGTATTCTCCAGCCAGTAGCAGAGGTGGTGGTTATTTAGGCAGAGGAGACAAACACTCCTCCGCACACAGAATAAACACTCCCAACTCAACAGACCTGCATATCTTACACTCAAGGTCCCAAAACAGGTTTAGGTACTCCTGAATGCTACAAGAATATAATTACCATACATGCTAACACTGGATGGGAAAGTACCATGCATAGTAACAATAAGCCCTTTAACGTCTATCATTCGTCTTAAAACACAAGACAGAACAGATCTGATGTAAGAAAAAAAAAAGAATACTAGTACAATCCTGTAGAAAAAAAAAAGAAACCTTAGCAAGGTGTTTTAAATGAGACGGCTGTTTGATCAGCAACATGTAGGTAAAAACATTATGACACAGATATGATATACTAAGAGTTTTCAAAGGCAATTAAACTTTTAGTTCGAGTTCCATTTTAACTAGGAAAAAACGTGCATTATTAAAGAAATCTAAAACAGTTTAATAGACAATTCTTTCAAAAGCAGTTACCAAAACAGAACAATTTAGTAAATATGAATGTTCCCACTGGGAATAAGCAAATGTAAATACTAGTTGCTAACATGCAATATTTTCATCCATACTGAAAAAGCAAATTTATAATCTCCACTGCTAAAGCTCTAGGTAGGTAAGTGATAAACATAGAGCTCCCAACAGAAGTCTGATTTTTACAAGCAGCTTGACTTTATCTGCTGGAAATAACAGATAAATGTGATTTAACAATTGCTCATGGGAGGACTGTGTAATCAACATGACACCACAATAAAAGGAGGAAATGTGTCAAATTTCTCTAGTAGAGATAAAGTTCAGCATGATATTGATGGGAGTTCACTTGCAATGTGTAAACCATCCCATCAGCTTAGTCTCTCTGAGGGGCTAAGTGTTTGCACCAGAACTGCATTCAAGTGCAGAATAACTAAATGAGACACTGGTGCATGGAGGATCTCAGCTGGACGACAGCCAGAGCTGTCTCCATTGCCCCAGTGTGATATAACAAAGTGGGGAGGTAGGTGGTGGTTTAGGGACTTCTATGAAGTAGCAGTTTCCTGGACTTGAGTTCCACTCCCCTCCTACCTGCCCCCTTCCCTCAAAGGGTCATGTGTTCATTTTGAAAAAGATTTCACAATCCTGAACAGACAGTCTGGCGCTCATGCTCAAGAAAGGGTAATCCAGCTGCAAACAGCTGAAGCAGAACCAGCAGCCCTGTCTCAAAGATGTCAACCGACCACTGGAATAAGGTATAAAAGCATTATCTTCTCTACCCTCTTGAATATCGCTGGTAAGAGACAGGAGACGTGCATTCTGCACAGAAATAATTACGTACAAGAATCACTTTTTTTTTTTGATTTAAGAAGATCTGTGCCTCTACAAGAACAAAATTACCAGTACACTGGACATACCCAAGGGTTATTCCCATTTCAGAGATTACAATCTACATTTAAGATGAGGAATTAACTAGAGTCCATGCTCCCTAGGACAGAATTAAGCTGTACAAAAATTCAATGGATTTTGCCTATTAGTATTTTGAAACTTAGATTCTAACATTCTATGATATAATCCAAATACAGTCAAACCAAGCATTACAAAATTTTTTTAAAAGAAAAGTCTTACCTTTGGTGCACGCACATAATCTGTCTGTGCCCGAACAGTATATCACAGAGACAAACATATCTGGTTCCTCAGTGCCCTCTTTTTTAGGTGGCTCCACTTTGGCCAGAATTTCAAAGTTTGAAAGATCTAGTATTTTTACATATCCTCCCTGAGTAGTTATTACCAGGTGCCCAAGAGTAGAGATCTCAGATCTTCTCTCTCTCCCACTGCCATTTTTAGAAGTTAATTGTATTTCCTCTACAGGTTCCTCACAGTCATCCTCTCGATTATCCAATATATCTGGTGGGAGCAAAATCATTGAGGTAATTGTGTCTTGGGGGTCTTTGATATGCTGGATTTTTACTGGTTCCTCCTCTAGAGTAACTATTCTAGTGGCATAATTCATCTTATAAAGCACTAGGTATCCACCACTAACACTTTGCTGTTCAGGTTGAATTATTAAAGGAGTTGGTACATCTGCTGGTGAGTCATGTTGGATTACATCAATACTCGTGCCATTCACTACAGCAAGACTTGATTCTAGTTCTCCCTTCCTTCTATTACATAGTGCCGAGTTTAATTTATTTAAATTATTCAAGGCCTCTACTTGATTTATTGCACTCAGAGATTCGACAGGACAAGTCCGCAGTCCTACTAACAAGTGAACTCCATCTGCACAAGGCGTGATCGAATCTACGCACAGGTTCTCCTCCTCTGCAAACTTGGGCAGACGCAGGCACTGAACCAAAGTCCCAGGCTTGGGAACCATAGAGCTCCACTTGTCAGAGTCCGGAGAAGTTAGGTTGGCTGCAGCATCCGCAAACTGCTGAATGTAAGTCACAGGGGGATCCTGTAACAGCAACTGCTCCTGACTGTCCAGCTCCATTTCAATGATCTGTGGAACTGTGAAACCATCGTCATGTATACTTTTACTCATAATATTGTTCATCTGTGAAAAGAGTTTTCCTGCTTTTTCATCAGATTCCTTAATGCTGTATAGGAGCAATACAGGTAAAGTCCTCCTTACCAGAGGGGAGTTCAGTTCTGAATTAGTGCAGGATTCATTGTCAGTTGATCCCTGTTCCGAGACACTCTCGCCTCGAGTCCTAGTTAAGCCATCCAGTGACCTCTGAGAGTTACTGCTAACAGGAGAGGTAGCAGGTGATTTGTATGTTAATAGACCTCCAGCTAATAAACAAGGGAAGGGAATGTTGTGTTGTTCTAGATGTTTGTCCTTCATTTTTTCACTCTTACAGTTGGCCAAACAGGGATTTGCCCCAAGTTCTTCTAGATCCTTAACCGTGTCTTCCAGAACATTTGCAACAATTTCCCACTGAAGTTTCTCAGGTTGCTGAAGAATGCTGAGAGCTGTTATATCAAGGCTAACTTCCATAGTTTCTTTTTGTGATGTATGCCCTATAAAACAAAAATGCTTAATTTAATATGTTAAAAAAGAAAAAAATATTGCATATATTATGGACTTAAGCAAAAAGTCACTGCTCTACTGTTTCTGTATATTAAAACTTTCCATATGTTTAAGATCTGACAGTCAAGGAACAATGAAAGAGGCCCAGAAACATTCCGTCCACGTAGACTGATGGTTGTCCTATTTATATCAACAAGAGCGCATGTAAAGAGAACAGGACACTGGCCTTTGTAACAAGCCTCCCAGTAAACAGCATTATCTTTCTAACAATTATTCTACCCAGCTAGACCACCACACTGAAATCCAAGTAATCTAATTCATTCATGTTCTCCTATATATTATTCCCCCTCCTTCCTAGGCAATGCAGTACCATCAAAATTCTGCAATTTTGCCATTTGTTTTCTAATCTTAGTTGAAAAACATGTCACTCTGAAACCTGATACTTCCCACCATGTAAGAGACCACCTGAACTCCAAGCTAGTATAAAACAAAACCTGGTAAAAACTTAAGCGCCTGATCAAATTGAACAGTACCACAAGATTTCAACTAAGCAATGTAGAATTTAAAAGATAACAATGCACGCCGTGCAAACACAGATTAAGAGGTGACTTAAGCATCAATGACAGAGCACCATCTCTGCTAATAGTTTTGTTGGAAAAAATGCTTTTGAGATCTTGTCTACTTCCTTGTGTGTATACACATGCACATGTTCTTTCCTGCCCCGCCGCCCCGGTTGCTGATCCTTACTCAAAGATGTAAACTGGATTACGGAAATAGGCATGCAATCCTCCCTCTCATCAAACTTACTGATTCAACTTCTAAGAAAATAACTCAATAACACCATGCATAACTGTTCTGCTTCCATATGAAATCTTTATTCAGAAAGAGAATTACTCTATCAAAGTGCATATCCACAGGGAAACAACCAAGATACAGGAACCCTCTCTGGCGATCCCCTGGATTCAAAGGGTTTTGTACAGCTGTAATTTGTTCCTGTTCTAAGTAAGTTCCTTTATCTTGGTTTGTGTGTTTTATTGACAGCAAGATAAGCAATGCTTGTTGTCAAACAGGACACTTATTAACCAACAAAGTAGGATTTTTTTCTTTTCTCATGTATGTAATCTCTCCACCACACAGTGACTTAAATACTGCCGTTGCTTTCAAGGTCCATTTTTTTTATTTTGTCTAATACAGTGAATATTATATCCTTTGCTTTTGACAGGGCTTTTTTAAAGCCTGAGAAGAACAATTTCCTTCCTGACCTCTAAACCATTACCGTGGATCAGATATAACTTACCTGTCACAGATTCCGATCTAGAATGCTCTTCACTGTCTGAATCCTCCAGTAGGTCATCACTGAAACAAAACAGTGCATGAATGACACCAGGAACACTGTAGCTGCATTCTTATTTTTAATTAAATTTTAAAAATAGGAAAAAAAGAGTGTATTATAACCTGATATTTCTTTTAATCACCATTGTACATCCACTTATGAGTTGATCACAGACACGAACAATATAAAGTTTTTTTCTTTCCTCTGTCATTGAACCAGTACACCAGCTTTCCATTTGCCTCATTCTATTACTGTATTCTCAACAATTCAGACATAAATGGAATTTAAATGAAAGCCAGTTCTCAGGATTCTTTCCATAACAGACAAAACCTCTAAAAACTGATGACATCTTCTTCAAAGTTCCTCAAAAACAGTCTCTAAAAGGTGGAGCTGCCAGACTGGTCATCAATTCTACCAAGGCAATTTTGTAGCTAGTACAGAAAGGGTGTGTGAATAGTGTGTTGCTTTTAGAAACACTGCCAGATGAATCGTTTTTTCATAAAAGCAGATTCTGTTCAAGATACCTCTTCCAGAGAAATAGGCCCTTCAGGAGTTCTAAGAATATATGACGATGTTACGCATCTGGCTTTCACTATATAAAAAACAATTTCCTATTACAGCTTCTTACACACAGGAAGAACAGTAGTGCCTTTGCAGCTTCAGGTATGACTACTCACAGTACCAAGCTGGATCCCCAAATTTCAGAAAACTGGATGATTCACCTACTCACCCAATAAATAGATCTTTTTTGGCTCAAACCTGAACAACCTTCACTTCATGACAAGTCAGCGACAACTTGTAACTTTCTCATCCAGCTTTCCCTTGGGTGGGAAAGTGATAGTAAGCTTCATACAGATGAAGCTAGTTCTGAGAAGTATGACTGTACTATCCCTTAACTGGCTTTTAAAATTAATTCTTCAACTCTCAAGGAGTTTACAGCCCTAAAGTTTCAGTAAAAGTCGAGGGCCCAGCACTGTTAGGTCTCACAATCCGATGCTGCCCACATACCAAGACTCTCAAAATACCTTTTGTCCTGAGTTTTCCAACAATTATGCAGTCTTTTGTTTTAGTTTTGGCAATATGAGAAAGGAGTTTCCATAACAGACTGTAAGAAACATAAAGGAAAGAATATGGCTTTTTCTTACACAACACTTTCTAAGTACTGACATACCCTCTAGCTTATCTAAAAGGTTGTGATGGGACAGTCTGATTCTTTAGATCCTGTATACATGTGTTAAAGGTACAAAATGAAAGCAATTCCTAGCACATCCACACAATTTATTTTCAGAATGACATAATCAGAAATTATGGAGAAGCAAACAGAGACAAGCATGTTCCAGAAGTCCACAAGTAGCCTTTGCTTTCATAACCTGAAATACAAAAGCCATAACGACAAGGAAAAGCTTTTCCAAAATTTACATTCCTTTAGTTTTCTCGGCCTCAGGCATCAGCACAGGGCAGCAATGAGATGTGGTATCTCTCTGTCAAACAGCAGGAGTGAAATGGAACTGTCTTTAAAAAGAAATAATCCAAATTTCTATCTTCAAATGTTGAAATGCGTACAGGTACACAATGATTAAAAACATTATCTCCATAAAAAAAATGAATCTTGCCAATCTTACATTTCACAAAGCATGACTTAGCTAAATGGCATTTACCACTTACACAGCAACATTTCATATTTCTGATTTTGTAGATGGTCATACCTGTCTCCTTCTAATTTTGGTATATCTGAGCAGCTAGATGAATCTTCCAGCCAGGCTAGTGTTGGTCTCCTTGAGTCAACCCCTGAGCTCTGTTCTCCTGATAACATAAGTTGCTGCACAATAGCTGGATCATATGCATTGATCTCAAACTTTAAGTGGACCTAAGAAATAACAACAAAAAACAGAAGAGGTCTTTGCTGTAAATCCAGATATGCTTACTCAGTAATTATTTAATAAAAGCAGGCTGTTTATACTGTATACCTTCATAAGTTTGGAAACATCCCATATACAGATCTTTCCTCGTTTTGTTGCAGCAGCTAGAAAATGAGGGCAGCTTCCAGATCCAAAGCAGGCTATCCTGTCAGTGCCATCTGTGCAGGGAAATTGTGCTGGACTTGTTGCCAGTGTGACTGACAGAGGTACATTCTGAGTGTGCTCACCCTTGACAAACGGGCAGTTAGGGGAATGTCTCTCATGTTCAGACCTTTCCATGTTAAAAAACAAACATAGCAAGCAGTGATTCTTATTGTGAAAAATATACACAACATATACAGCCACAGCCCCTGAAGTGAAACAAACTGAACTATTTGAACTGTATTGCAGTCAACCATACAAGAGTTGTGAAGTTACTAATGCACCTTTCCCTGCTGTATTTCAATAGCAGACTGCATAAACCCTTTGATCACTTAATGGACAGTCAAATTCAAATTAGTCTATTTAAAAAAACCCAACTGTTCTATAGGCAGTAGCCCATCATGTCCCCATCAAGAAAAGCACAGATTAAATTCCACAGAACGTACATTAGAATTCCCGTGTTATGAGATATTATTATAAGTAACCATAATTATATGAAGCAATGTCCTGTCCTTAGTTCCACATCCACACTTTAAAAAAATCAAATTGAAAACTGTCCTGATTGACACATTGACTAAGCAGCATGAAAAAACCTTCTGATCTCAATATATACCCAAGGCAGAGACATGGCAAAGAGCAATTACACTACAAGAAAATGTCTAGAAACTAACAAGGGAAGGGAGGAGACAAGGACTATGAAGATAATATTAAAAAGGAAAGTTTCAAACAAGTCATGAATCTGAGGTGTTCAAATAACAATTATAAATTACCAAATAGTTAAGACAAAGATTACATTAAGAACCCTTTTAAAAATCAATATAATGTCCTGCATTTCTGTCACTATGCACTTTTTTAGCTGATTCAGGAATGTAGTAATGGGTCTTGCAACTTCAGATAAGGCAAAAATTGCACTGCATGGCCACTGCAGTTTAAGAACTTGATAAAACACATGTTCTAGTCACAATCATACAGAAGATGAAGTTTAGATCCCTGCAAAAAAATGTTAGCAGCCATCTTGCCCATGGAACAATTTGAAACGAAACAGCAAAGGAGAATCAAGAAACAAAATCTAACTAGAGTTTCTTGGGTTTAGTATTATACAGAAATCTGATATAGTATGGGGAACTATTTTGGCATTTGCCTCATGGAATCATTCTGGAAATGCATTCTTGCCAGTGACACTCCCTAAACTCACCAGAAATCCCACCAAGATAATGACGAGCTTTGTCCTCTAAAGATTTCTAACCTCTTCAGCACAAAATTAAGACTACTTCAAACATCATTCAACTTACCAAGGTTCATCTGTAGGCTCCCAGCATACCAAACACACACTACAGGTAAAGCACATGGCTCTGTCATCTCCTGATGAAGTAGGCTATGAACATAAGGAGAAACACTTGAAATTTATATAGCTTTGTACTGCGAAGCACTTTAACTAGGTGAGATCAAGTCCTCTCCTTCTAGTGGTATAGCAAAGCGCCACAAACGCATAAAAGGCCACAAATTAAATACTGTAAAGCAGCAGTATTTCACATTGTAAAAAAACCAAGGATACACCACATTTCTATAAAAGAAATTCAGAACCAACACCTGTGCAAGCCACTGGAAAAAAAACATAGAACAGAACACAGCATCACTGCTAAGACCTTTCCTCCTTCAGGAAAAGTTCACAAGGTTCAAAAAATTTAGAACCTCAGCAGAGTAACTGTACGTCTGTATGCTTGGAAAAACACATAGGTGAAACAAATACTTCCGATTATGCCTTCAATCTGCTGGAATATGAAGCATTCTGTATCACTCCTCTGCAAAAGAACAGCTGTTAGTAGCTAAAGCAATGGAGGAAAAAGAATGGAAGTTTCCATTCTCTTAAAATTTAGCATCTTCATGACCACCCTTCAAGTCAATGAGATATATTTGGGAATACACAGATGCAATTTTAACATATGAATTCCCTGCACTTCTCCTGAACAAGCTTAAGAAATCCTCCACAAACTTTATCTGCTTTCACCTATCAGTCAGTTGGTATAATGAGGCAGACAACATTGATGTCAAATGACAGACGCTGCCTAACTATCATTATATAAATCCATATCATAAATAATCTTTTTATAGTAGAAATTTCAAAAAATGAAAAATAGGAACCAGCAAGAGTAGTGAAATAAGATGTCCAGGTTGCATTTATCCACTACACTTAATAATTTAATGTGATCTAGGACCGCTGTTTGAGTCCCACTAGGAGAATATTGTTCGAGAACAACATCAAGCTTTTATTTTTTTGCTTTAATTATAATATAAAAACTAAGGACATTTACTTAATCTAAAAAGGAGAAAGAGAGGCTCTATGTAACAACCAACTTCATCTTCAGTGATGTTTAATTCAGATCAATTCAATAATTCAAAGTGGTTTATATGCTGAAGTTCAAAACAGCACTTTCTGTGATCTGTACAAAAAAAAAGAAGCAACCTCAAGGCATGGACAAAGCCTGAAACTTAAAAAAAAGAAAAGAGCTGAACAATAAACTTTTTCATTATGGCTTTTGCATGACTGCAGGAATCCATCTGAAAAAAAGGCCCAAACAAACAAAAACCCTGCTTCCCCAGTTTTCACCTAGGGAACAACTAAACCTCTTACCTGGTGGTAGAATCCAGCTTGAGCCATAGGATCTGGCTGTGCCCACCTATAACCCACATGAGGCCATGAAGTGAATGTCTCCCGTCTATTAGCTTCACTATACATCAAAGACCTAGAAAGGTGAAAAAAAATCTACATTACCCCAAACTGCCACTTCGAATAAAAAAGTAAAACTATTTATGAGATATTTCCAATGCTTTAACAACTGCTAGAAATACCAGTGACAGTTCTATGTAACTTACAGTTAAAATTATCATTAACAAATACTGAGAAGTTACTGAATTCTCTCACTTGGGTGAATAAAGCACATCCTCAGCAAAAGAACAAAAACAATACAACCACCTACACACCTTAAAAGCAAGCTTAATAAAGTAAGCTTCCATGTAGCCTATTTGGTCTAACTACAGAAAAGCATCAGACATCCAAAGCTACTCTGCATTTAGGGAAGATGCCGACTCTCGCCCAGTAGAACTGCTGGACAGTTGGATTTTTAACATGACAACTACTGCAAAAATTTGGGTTTATTAGTTAAACAGATATGTATATGTGTATTTAAAAATACTCCAAAGCAGTATTTTAGGTTTCATCACTCACTGCATACTACAATACTTAAAAACTATAAACTACTAAGTCACAAAATATAAACTCCTGTGCAACTCCACATCTGCAAAGAGAATCTCCTCTCTTTTCCACCTTCCCTTAGTGCACGTCTCTAATCTGAAATAGTACGTAAGAAACAACTATCAGCTTTTCTTTTTCCTTGACAGAAGTTTGTTCTCCAGTATCAACCCCATGAACTAGTGCTGCTAGATGGAAAAGTGCCTTACTTCTTGGTTTTGCCCCTCAGTTTCAGGAGATTTTTGGTGTCTTATAAGAGAATGCATATATTAAACATTTCAGACCAAGGAAGCAAACTATGCTTGCAACACCCACATAAGGGCTGTCTTAACTTGACATTACACCATCTTAAGAGACAGATCTCTAAGACCTGTAATCAAAAATACAATATGGTGAGGTGCAGGTAGATCTAGAGGCTTGGGAATGGAAAGTAAGAGATCAATTTTATTAAATTATTTGAGCTGTAACAAATGATAATATGCTTGCAAAACAATATCTGTATAGAAACTTTCAAGAGGAATTCATTTATAGACTTGAATTTATCAGTATTCTAACTAGGAAATGGCCTCAAGTTGTGTCGGGGGAGGTATAGATTACGTATTAGGAAAACCTTCTTTACTGAAAGAATGGTCAGGCACTGGAACAGGCTGCCCAGGGAAGTGGTGGGGTCACCATCCTGGAGGTGTTCAAGGAACGTGTAGATGTGGCGCTTGAGGACATGGTCTAGTGGGTACGGTAGTGTTGGGTTGGTGGTTGGACTGGATGATCTTATAGGGCTTTTCCAACCTTAGCGATTCTGTGACAGTCTTTGTTTATGAGTGTTAAAATAATGGGTTACATTATAATGCTTCTGTACACATTATCACTCAGATCAGAAAGAGATAACGTAACAATCTTAGGTAACATTTCCTCTGACCAAACACAGAGCAAGTGACTAGAGAGTACAGAAGTAGCATATGTATACTCTGCAAAAGGGAACAACTTCCTAAACTCCTAAACCACAAACACGTGTATGTAACTTTCCTGTAAGAAGGAAAAGGAATTGACTTCATGATGCAGCATAGCTCTACCTTTGGTAGTCAGGTGAGTGCTATCTTTGCATTCAAAGAGGTGTACATACACTTGTAAAGCTATGTGGCTTGGGAACATCTCAACATTGCAGTCAGTGAGGTTTCAGTACTAGTCTGAGTAAAGCTGGTAACTTAAGAAACTAGTCAAGTCATACTCACTTGACTGTTCACATAAAACCCATAACCAAACATGAAGAGTAAAGCCTAGGTGAACACACCACATCAATATGTTACAGTAACACCTAGGGACCCATATTTAGGGGTGCAGTTTTTACCCTTCTGAAAGCGAACGTTGGGAGAGAGCAAAGTGAATTCAATTTGCCTGGCATTAAAGTGAGAATCCAAACAGAACAGTCTTATGGCACCCATAAAGTTTTTTCGAAGTTTAGCAGTATGTACAGCTCATTGAGCAGCTTATCAGCAGTACACGTAAGAGCAAGAAAGTACAGAACAGGACTAATTCCTTTGACAAATAAAGTAATCTAAGAGCTCAAATTCATCACTTATTTTGTCTTAATATACCTGTCCACAGACCGACCAGGTCCCACACCAAGTTCTGGTCGTGCGCTGGGTAAGAGGTAAGATAACCTATCCATCACAGAGGATGCTACAGGTAAGGCAGCAATATTTTGATTTATCTTCTTGAGTTCATTTACAATGGCACTGGCGACAGACTTCAAAACATGATGAGGAAGGTGGAACGTAACCGTTGCCCACTAAATTAAAAAAAAAAAAAGTGCCTAGTTTATATTTTAAAATTTTAACATCTAAACAACAAATAAATCACAAAAGCATCAGAAGAAAAAACAAACACGAGTCTTTCACCCCCTGTTGATTTCAAGAAATAATACAAACACAGACATACAAAAGCCACGTGGACATAATGCAAGGTAAGTCAGTAACTTCAGATTTTCATCTCAGTTGGGTTTAATCAGCAAGAAACGAACCTTGCTTGTTCTCTTAACAAGTGAAACTTTACACAGAAGCACGAAGGACACAATACATTCCACCCTCATCCACTACACTAAGTCAAGCATTTTGTATGCTTCAGTAACAGTAGCCAAGCAAATGAGACCAGGGAACCCACATCAGACAGTACAGAGACAAATTCCTACCTTTGCAACTTTATGATTTGCTGCTGTTTCATGTGAGGTATTTTTTAAACCATCCTTCAGTTGTGTGATGAACAAGTCATATCCCTCTGTGCTAGAAACATCTACTTTTTCTATGCAAGCAGATAATAGTTGCTGAGCCTAAAATGCAAATGTGCAGGCAAAGTTAGCATCCATGCTAACTACAGACAAGAATTACACCCGTTTCACGACTTCAGGAGATGTAATTTGTCATGTTTTACATCAGCATAATTCCCATAAAAGACCCAGAGCTGAGTAATCAGTTCCAAATTTTGTTTTGTAGGCCAATCAATAGGTAAACTTTGGCAACAGTGACAGTAATTACTACAAGTTCCCTCAAGGGCAGTATTGCTAAATGTTAAACAAGTCAGTCATATAAACAATTAAAACAGAACATAAATTAAAGCCAAGCAAAAAGGAAACATCTATTGCCCAATGGTTTTCCTTCAAAAGGATTTATTCAGACAAAAAAGTGAGAACAAGAACAAAGTCTTGACATTTTTCTGAGTAGCATTCTGTCTTAAAAAGTAGATGATAATGAGAAAAATAACATTGTAAAAAAATTAGAGATAAATTACTTACAATGCTACTATAATAAAGTTGAGAAATGAGGCAGAAAAAAACCCCAGGCTAGTTTAGAATACAAAGACTCTTAAAACTTAGAAATAAAGCATCTGGGAAAAAAACCCACTATAAAACAATGTATAGACTTTCTTCTAAGTCCCATCTGTTTCTAGGTTGTCCCTTCATGTCGCCAGGTAAGGGTATTCCGTATCTGTGTTTAGGTGGGCTAATATCTGAAAACGGTTATATGAAATCTCTCAAGTTACAAACAAAGGGAAATATCTCCCAAAGGCAACAGCCAGCTAGTCTAATTTAAACAGCTACAAACAGCTCCAAACAGAATGGGCCAAACAGCCACTTGGGGAGTTCGGGGGAAGACAGACAGAAGTAAGGCAAATCAGTTCCCTAGCTAAGTCTGTATCTGTTTCTCAGATTTCAATAAAAAGACAATTACAGTTCTTGTGGCATCTCATACTTCCCAAGTCTCTTGCAGAGGACAGAAGAACAACAGATACAATGTGGAAGTTCATAAATTTACAGTGTTCTACAGGGAAGTAACAGCACAGAGGCTGCATCATAACCTGTCAATGTTGCTGATTAGAAATGCATAAAGATGCAATGCAATACCAGAACATCAATCATAGAAAAAGTTCCGCACATTTTTCCACTTAATTTAAGGAAAGGTCTAGAGCCTAGCAAAAAATAAAGGCTCTAGCTATGATAAAATTTCTTAACCTTCCTATGATAAAAGAGGTGGACTGATGTGTTTCTATGATATTTGTTTAATATCTACTAAAATTTTCTGAGGTCTGGGTACCTCCTCTTTAAAATTAAGAGAACTCAGGGCAACTAATGTTTTTCCTCCCACCTCATTGACTTGGCCACAAACTCTCCAGATCTGTTCCTACTCAACTATAACATTGGCCAATTTTTTTCAACAGGAAGGATCTTTACAGAGAAGTGCTCTATTTTAACATCAAAATAAAGGCCACTAAACTCTTTACAACTAAAGAATCTCGAGCTATAGCTGACACAAACTTACAGTTTGTACTGAACTACGCAAGACTGCAAACCAGTGACAGGTAAACTTACGAAAGGAAATGCTGACTTCTGTCAGTCTCTTTACACTCAGCCACACATACCAAGACTTTGTAATTGCCCACAAAGGGTGTGAAAAAGATGCCAGTGGCAGCAAACCTGAGGAACCTGGAAAGCTCTCTGCAGAAATCTGTATGAAGCAACATTTTATTGCTGTTACTCCTACTGAAGTAGTTAAAAAGTCCACATATAACACACATTCTTGGTTCATAATAAACACCTATTCATTAATACTTTAACAGCACGTAATTATTTAAAATCAATGCTCAGGGGAAGTTTTTGTTGGTGGTGCAACATTCAAGATAAATTTATTTCCTACAGAGATGAGTGGGAAGTGCTCTTTTCTCGGAGTGCTTCAAAGATTCAGAATCTGGATCTTGAAGTCCAGTTTCTGCTTTTTCAGTTGTAAGCACTATTCTAAATATTACTACTGGCAGATGCTCTATGCTTTTCCCAAACATAGAATTAATCCTACTTGTAATTAAAACTGTTGTAGAAATTTACTTCCCAGGTCTATTACTTCATGACTACTACAAAGGTTAAAGCTACTTTCCTCATAACCAAGCTACTTTCTTCATCACCAAGTGCCTTAGCTTGGTTGAAGCAATCGTTAGCTATCTTGCATTAGGCAACATCTGAAAATTATAATGTACACGCTACCTCATCTAATAAATGCTGTATGAGCTGAAGATAAATCAGTGCAACAATATCCTAAGCATTAGACAAAGCAAAAACGTGTATACTAGATTCCCTTAAAGTGATAGTAAATGCTTTGTTATGTTGTGTCAAACCAGGAGGAATGACACCACAGCTGCAACAGTCCAAACACAAAAGGGAAGCCACATTTGCAGGGAAAAAAAGTCTTTCACTAGGCCAACTGACCTAAGTAGCAAAGGTAGATGTCAGCATTAATTATTCAAATGTAGCAACACCATATTAGCTGACTTTAAATTGCCTTTTTTCCCTGAAAACCTAAAACAAAACAAACAAACAAAATAATCAAGGATGTCTAGCAGCCCAGACAGACTTCTAGACGTGCATATAGATTCCATACATCAGCACTGACCACCTTCTGGAAATGAGTCCCTATTTCTGGTCACTAAAAAGTTCCGTCGTCTGAAATAATGTGCTCTTGATAAGCAAAGCTCTTATTTGTTTGAGATAGGGATAACTGCAAAAAGCTATTGCCCTATGACAGCTATAACTAAGAAACTTTTCCGTGACATGCTGTTAATGTCAAACTAGAAACCTCAATGTCAAACATCTGGTTTCCTTATTTCGAACAGAATTATTTACATACTCATCCCCCCGCCCCCCATCTTACCTCTGTAACCGGCAATTCAAGCTGAACCACATCATCTTGTTTTGAAACAGGCGTTTGCAGAGCTGTGTCTAACAGTAAGATGCCATTGAGATCTTTTCTACATCCCACCGCATAATCGTCCACAAATATCACTTTATCCACAGCAGAAATGTACTGACACTTCACCCGTCCACCCGGTTTAGCTGTAAAGGGAAAGACAAAAAAAGCAAGATCTGATTAAAAAACAGCTTTTGTAAAAGACCTTTAAGACCTGTTCCAGGAAGTAATGTAACACCAGCAAATCTTTACTTCTTGACAAAACCAAAAGCTAGCATTTTAGCTACTACAACTTTCTCCAAACTTTTCTAGTTTCTACATTAAAAAACAAACAACCAAAATCAATACATCCTATCAAGAACTACAACCATTTTATTCCTATAATGGAAGCCATCACTCCAAGACCTGTTCTTACCAGGATGTCTAAACTAGTGTTTTCAAGCCTAACGCAGATGCCTGATGCACGTTAGCTGCCAATCAAGAATTAGATTGTACAAATCAGCATAAAAATTAAGACAAAATCGCTAAACTACCATTAAAGCTGATGAACACCACTTCATCTATCTAAACAATACCCAGACTTTTGAAACCTAAGTGCAGCATATAGCATGTGCCACTGCTACAGGTGTTCCTTGAGACACTGAAGTAGCTGCTCGGCACTGCACACGTGATGTCAGTAACAGGCTGGAGAAGTTTGGTGGGGTGGAGGAAAACTGGCAGCAGATAAATAAGGAAAGGTTGTGGCAATGGATACTATCCCCAGAAATGTTTCATGTTACTCAACATTATTCTGTCTCTAAGGCTGGAGGGACTGTCAAACTAAATCCATGTAATACGCTATCTGCGTAGAAGGCAAATTGCTTTAATTCAGACATGGACACATCATCCAAAGGGCAAAAGTGAAATCGCTGGATCACCAACAATGATCTCTTCTTGCTGCACAGGAACGGGAGTTCCACTAAATGTTGCATGAATCAAGCTTCATCCCCGTTACCCTCTTTCCTCAGACAGTGGAGTCTGTTTTTATAATGAATAATTAGAAATCACCATTCAGTAGCTAGCATACACATAAAGCATGCTGATAAGACAGCTACATTAACTCTTTTGTCTTCACACTTTGATACAGTTAAATGGAAATTAAAACTTCTCTAAGTACAGGACACATCAATCTGACCACACTGCATTTGTGGTATCCTCTCTCAAAAACTCAGGTCAAGAAGAGTCGTCAGCTGCCCTTCTCACCAAAACTTCGGAAACAATGACTCATATACCCTCAAAATATAGGACATGGGCCTTTGCCTGCATGAAGTATCCTGCAACTGTAATCATTGCTACAACAGTCAAAAACACTTCAAGAGCCCTGGAATCACTTGACAGTTGTGAAGTCATTAGTCCTAGCTCAACAAAAAAGGGTTCTCCAAATAGCAAATCAACTAGTTTCAAACTGTATTTTTGCCAATACATCAGAGTTTCTCACACAAGACTTTCTACAGACAACACAGCTGCAGGCAAGGAAGCAAGTCGCTCTACCAGAAAATAACGGTTTCAACAACAACAAAAAAAAACCCAAAAACAAGTTTTAATGTGTTCAAAACTATTAGTTTCAACAATGCATACTAGAAACTATTAGGTGAATAAGCTGAAAGGTTATAAAGATGCCCTGGGTTTGTTTTTGTCAGGATAGAGTTCATTTCCTTCACAGCAGCTGGTATGAGGCTGTTTTGGATTTCCCCTGAGAAGAGTACTGGTAACCCTGGTGCTTTTAGTTGCTGCTGAAGAGTGTTTGTACCAATTCAAAGACTATTTCAGTTTCTGATACTGCACCTGTGTTCCCAACTTTCTCGCTAAAAGCAGGGAAGGCAGACAGACACAGTTCAGACAGCTGACCCAAACCGATCAGGACAGTATTTCATTCCATAGTACATCATGCCCAGTATAAGCCAGGAGACCATGTTTGTTAGTTGGTGGGTCTGTTGGCTTTCTCTTTTGTGCTCTCACTTGTGGGGCTCACTCAGATTCTGGTGTGATCTCTCTCTCAGACTTGCTTGGACTCTGCTGCTCGCTCTTGGTCTCTGGCTCTCACTACTCACTCACCACCCAATACACAGGCAGGTCCCAATTGTATAATTTGTTTTATTTTCCACTACTTTCATTACACATTATTATTAATGGTAGTATTATCTTCATTACATATCATTAGTAGTATTGTTAATATTAGTGGTTCACTATTTTATCTGTTTATATTCAATTATTAAATTGTTCTTATCTCCATTTGAGAGTTTCCTTGTCTTTTCCTCTGATTCTCCTCCTCCTCCCCTGGAAGAGGGGGAGAGGTGAGCGAGCAACTTTGTGGGGCTTAATTGCTAGCTGGGGTTAAATCACAACATGCCCTAAACTAGAAACTTCAGTGGATTCACATGGTGTTTGCAGTCCATTCAGTGTGATCCACATGATGGATCGCTACATGACACCTTCTTGGGCTACATCACTTTCATCCTCCACCTTCCCAGAGAAAATAGGAAAAGCAACTCACCTTTTCTGGCAGTGCCAACACCACGAACATTTTCTTTTGCACTTTCCTTATTTCCTGCCAAGCACAGGAGTACACGCATGCCCTAGGACTAGGAGTCCAGCAGCCTGTAGAAGCCCCTGTCCTTGTGGCTTTCCAGGCTAGACCATTGTTTTATCATTTCTGTAGAGAAGTTTGTGAGATCTCATGCCTAAACCACTAAATGATTGACAAACATCCTCTGTATACATAGTCCCAATGTTTAGAAGCCAATGAAGATTACTCATGAGGTAGATAACATACGCAATGGAGCAGAAATACTATGTTGATTAAGAAACAAAACAGAAAGTTGTAACTACAGCACAAGAAATACATTGCCTAACAGCTGTGATTCTCACTGTGTGGGTTAATGTTACACTGACAAAAAGACTTTGGCCAAACTATCTCTAGGAAGTTACTTACAGTTAACAGTTGTATATTATTCAAAGGACACAGAAACAAAACAAGCTCCCTAAACCTAAACTGATGAAGCTTCAAGGAAATGATTCAATCAGTATTTAGTGTCATTTCAACTCCCTAGGAACCAAATTCTGCAGCTGACTGGTTTACACTCTGAATAGCCTCTAAATTGTCTGAATAGCTGACAAGCTATTTGGAAAAGTTAGGAGTTGAATTTTGTAGTTCAGAAAGCACATTTTGAGATGGTTCTACTACTCACAAATTATATCACAGTTCACATATGGCTGGCCATATGATTAAAACAGTATGTTTTTCCTGAGAAACAGGAAACTAAAGGATTTAGAAGTCACCACTGCAGAAGAAATGCCTAGAAAAGTTTAATCATCCTCAGAGCAATGGCAGAAGGGTCCTTTCTAACTCAGGATCAACGTTTTACAGTGTGCCAAAGGACTCTAACCAACATCCTTTGACAAATCTACTGGTGGCACACAACATTATGTCCTGCCTGTCCAGTCTGGCTGAGTTTACCCGCAATAAGTAGCTATCCGCATCTTCACAGGCAACAGTTCAAAACTTTCACATAAACTCACCGAATGACTTAAGACAGATCATCAAAATCCAATTGTTATGCCCATTTTAGCCGTAATTCCTTCAGCTGTAATTTATTTTGAGCAGTCAAAGGAGAAATAGTCAAAGTTTTTAAAAATGTTGTTTTTCAGTCTTGGCCCAAGTGGATCATAGCTTCTCCCAGTATCTCCAGCTAATCTGTCTAGGATTCAAAACAAAACAATGCACAAAGTAGTCCTTACGCCTTTTGACAGTTCCTATAAGGAAACCTGGCAGGCTGCTAGTATGCTAGAAGTGCAAGTCCAATAAGCATACTACATTATGGTAGTAAACATCAGATTGCAGCAATGAAGAATGAGAAAAGGTACATTCGTCCGTTTCAAACAATACAGGACAAAGATCAGCAATATCCTGTGATCGAATCTGAATCAAGGAAATACAACACTGAACACAGGAGCAACCATAGTGGATCAGAGGAAAATGTACGTAACCCCACATTTTTGTCCAAGACAGTGACCTAAACCAAGTGGTCAGTGAAGAATTTCAGAAAGGGTACACATACAATGGTACTTTCCTGCAACACCCTCAGCTCCTGCTAATTTTTGGCTCGGAAGGTCCCTGAGCACAAGTGATTTCTGTTACATATAACAACCTTTGATAGGTTGTTTTTCCATCAGTTTGTCCAAAGCTGTTGTAATTCCACAAACACCTGGCATCCACAATGTTCTCTAGACAGAAGATCTGTATTTTACTATTTCTCACAGTTAGTTCCTTTGACAACTCTTTCTTCACACATCCAGAATGTTGCAAACCTCTCTCACTCTCCCCCATTCCCAGTCATCCCCATCATCATCTTGCTCAGGCTGAATATTGTCTCACATACATAAGCCATCCCACACCTTAAGTTCATAGTTCTGTTATACTCTTTTTGAGATGGAAATATCAAAATTGCACACATACACACATTGAAAGGGACTTCTATTCTCAGTCTGGTTCTTGACAACTTCTCTAGCAATTGTTTATATGACAACTGAGGATTTAACTGGCATTTTGTATTTCTAGCACAATGCCAAGAACTCACTCTGGCATCATGAGTCAGTTCAGAGTCCAGTACATCGGGCTCCAAGTCCACTAAATTCTTATGAATACTTCAAATTAATTAAATGCATTCTCACATTCTCCTAATAACTGCTTCTACATAGGAAAGCTGAAGTAGAACAGACCAGATCCATCCATCCTTAAGTTCTATTTAAAAGTGAAACTATTCTTTAGGCCGTCTTCAAATTCTTAAGAAAAGCTGACAAAATTGAAGGACCTTGTATGTTTAAGACAACTATTTGCAGCATAGGAATAAGGGGACATTCAGAAAAGCTAACTTAAGCCTTGTAAAACTGGTCTCACCAAGCTCCTTCTATAGGCAATGGGAAGTAGGTTCCTCCAAAAGTTCAGAGTAAAGACTTGTCCTTCTCTCTGTACTGAGGGGAGAGGGAACCCAAGACTATTTGTTGAAAAATGCTGATCTTGCTAATTCTGACTTACAAAAGATACAGAAAACTGAACAGAGAAAATCCACTATTCAAAAAAGTCTATCGAGCAGTGTTGTATGTCATCACTTAGATCACATGAACCTAGGATCTTGTAGAAGACAGGTCAACTGAGTCTATCACAGTATTTCTCCACAATAACCACAGTGCCTTCTTGCTCTCCAGTAAAACATTCCCTGTCTTCCCAGTCATCACTGTCATCTGCCCAGCTTCCTACTTCCCTAACCCTTTCCAAACCCTTTCTTGTTGTCACCCAGCCACTCCATCACCCACTTCTCAGTCCCAGCCCTCAGCCTCCCAGGTCTTCCTTTCTGTAAGAGTTCTTCCTGATAAGAGTCTCTGTAGCCTGTTGCCTAGTAAGCAGAGATTGTAAAGCTCTCCTCCCTAATGCCAAATGCTCAGATGAGATCCTGATTGCTTCACACTCAGCTGGGTCAGGAAAGCACAGTGAACCAAACAGTTCTCCCTCCATAAACTGTACAGAGACGTGAAGAACTGCTCACAGACTGTATGCTATGCAAGCCTTCAGGAACTAGCACTTCCAGCTGCACGGCTTTCCACAAACACTACAAATTTTCACGTCTACCTAAGTGGTAAGTCCCTCCTCCCTCAAGTTACACATTAAAAAAATTATCATTAAAACACTCACTGAACAACCCTAGCAAAGACACAATCAAAGTTTCCAACAGTGATGTTTATGTGACAGGTAAGCTGTTATTTACATAATTTTACACTTTTAATCTAGGCTATAAAACAAAAGCTGCTTTTTCGCCCCCATTCCTTGGGCATCATCCTTATCTGTGGAGCGCTCTTTCCCCTAACATACATGCAATCTTGAAAATAAATGTTTTGTATATGCCAGACTTCCCACCTACTTTTTGACTAGCAGTGTTTTGACTAGCACTGTTGACCGAGTCCTTACCAAATCTTGGTAGTTTTCCCAAAGACAAGGCAGTAAAGGAATTGGCCCAACACACAATCTATAATTTGACTCCAGAAGAAGCAAAAGAAGCTGCAAATGTTGGTATCCACATGTACTTCACAAATGTAAGAGCTGAGGGCAGTAGCTGTTGTTTCTTAAACCGTCCACTGGGTGATAAGCGCCCACTTGATGACTGCAAGCAGTCATTGCAATTAAGAGAGCATTAACGATTTCAAGGACAGCTTTCTAAAAGCAGACAGCAGCAGTGTGACATCACTTAAGAACCATCAGGAAAGTGAACTGATCCACGTATGAATTTTTTATTTAAAAGCAAAAGTCTGATGAGCAGCTACTGGTCCTGATTTTTTTTTTTAATTTATCAATCAAAATCAGAGTTAAAAAAAAAAAGAGAACTAAAACCAGATCTTAAAACACCTTCCCCTCACCCCTCCCTTCTTCCCAGGCTCAAATTTACTCCAGCTTTTCTCTACCTCCTCTGCCCTGAGTGGCACAGGGGGACAGGAAAAGGGGATCCATCACACAATGTCTTTGCTGCTCACAGGGAGGACTGCTCACACACTTCCCCTGCTCCAAGGTAGGGTCCCTCTCTCAGGAGACAGTCCTCCACAAATTTCTCTGATGTGAGAAGGCTACAGTTCTTCACAAACTGCCTCAGCATGGATCCTTTCCTCAGGGTGCAGTCCTTCAGGAGCTGCCAGCTCCTGTATAGGCTTCCCAC